TTGGACAATACAACTGAACAGACTCTGGGACTCAAAATAGACGAATTCCTAATTCCTATTCTCTCTCCCCCTGCCTGATTGTGTGACTTGGGGCAGCTCCTCAACGTCCCTGAGCTTATTTAATTGGCTGAGATATAGATTCTTACTTTCTGGATCATTGATGGTACACGTGGCAGCACACACTTGTGATCCCAGCACTCAGAGGCTGAGGCAGGAGGATTGCCATAAATTCGAGGCCGGCCTGGGCTACACAGTGAATTCAAGACCCTCCTGGACTACGTAATAAGACTGTCTCAGAAAGGAACTGTTATGGTTTGTGTCTATATGTCCTCCCAAAGCACCATGTGATCATGGGGAGCAGACTTTTCGGAGGTGGTTGAATCGAGAGTTTATGATTGATGCATTGTCCAATGCTGGGATTAAGGCTGTGTTAGCCTACATACAATACAGTAGTCCCTCGCCATTTTGTGGTTCAAATTCCACAAACTCACTCTTCTGCGGCTTTTCAAAAATATTAATCTAGGGCCAGGGAGATGACTCAGTGGAATAAGTGCTTCCCTGGCAAGTGCAAGGGCCTGAGTTCAATCCCCAGTTCTGCCAAAAAACAAACAAACAAAACAAACAAAAAACCCCAAAAATATTAATCTAAAATACTTATCGTGGATTTCTCATTGTATCAGGGGATTTTGTGGTAGTGTGAAGTACTGTGTACATATTTATTTTTTTATTTGTTTATTCATTTATTATTATTTTTTTTTTACCTTACAACATAATGTGTTTATATTTAATATAGTACTGTACTTCTTGCCATGGGGATTTCACTCAATAGTAAAGGTTTTTTAATTACAGTATTTTTTCCATTTCAATGTCAATATAAAGGGTTTTTAAAAAAGTTTAAATCTTTCTATTTTTTTCATTCCACTATTAGCTATACTGAATATATTGTTTTTAAACTTTCTCCCCCAAAGATAAAAATTTCAATGTTTGGCTATTTAATATCTAAGTACAATATTAACTTGCACGACAAAATAAAAATCTGAAAACATGGAGGAAAGATTCCCCAGCATTTCAGGAGGCAGTGGGTGGAACTACACACTGGTCATTTGGGAAATTCTGGGCAAGTGCTTCCTTATTTCTATTGCATGTGTTCTGGGGATTCTGAAACTATGAACTAGAACTTACCTATTTTAAAGCCATCTTTACATTTTTGACCTGTTTTCTAAGTAACAAACTATTGGCTGCATTTTTCAGTGTATTATTTGTTAGAAAGGAAACATTGTTTTCCTACTTCACAAATGCTGATTTGCTTCCCTTCTCTGGGAAACAACCAAGAATGTGAAACCCTCTATATACTGTTTGTTGGTAACTTTTGGAGACCAAAGTCAGGTAGGGTCTCAATAGTACAAAGGTTTGCAGAGTGGAGTTTGATTGAGCAGGCCCTTAAAAGTCACACCTGTCCATTTCTCTTCCGTGCGTACACCCCTAAGCAAGCGCAGATGCCTGTAACGCTGAGAACCACACCTAACAAGAGAGCAATGGCATCTCCAGCTTCGACTGCTTCAACAGCGGGCAGAACCAGAAGCAGAGAAATGAGGACTATGAACAACTGTGTTGAAACTGAGGTCATGATGTCCACGTCTCGAAGGCCGGAGGTTCCAAAGAAATGATATATATAAAATTGTATCTGACTTGAAATTCTGGATTTCCTTTCCGGATCTCCGATGCTGAGGCTAAGAGAGTACACGTGACACGGCCTTCCGGGAAGCAGCCATTACAGGAACCTGACATTGCCAGTCTTACTGAAAACCCACTACTATTATGGACTACTGGACTATATTGGAATATTTTGCTGAATTCATGTACCTATAATATTTAAATGACAGTGGAATACCCTTCTCTGACAAAACTAAACAAAAAAAGGAGATACAAATGAACAACCACCCTAGCAAGTGCAAGGGTCTGAGTTCAATCCCCAGTTCTGCCAAATAAATAAATAAATAAATGAACCACCATTTTGTATTTGTATATTCAAAATGGTTAGGATAGATATACAGGTACATTCTCTTAATTCATTGAATAGAAAGATTTGTTCTAATAGTGTTTGTAAACAGGATATCATGTCTGTATCTTGTACAATGAATAACCACTAAGACAACAATATGCAATGTATTAATTATTGAAACTGTCCCAATTGGATTTGAAACTGTCTCACTGCTATTTGTTTCCCAATAAAATTATTGAAAAAAACAACAACCAAAAAAACCCCAAAAAACCAAATGGCCACATGAGAACATTCACTCCTAGGCTATCATGGGAGTGTAAACTGGTACAAAAGGTTGGGAAAAGGCTTGGCAGTGTCTTCCGTGGTTAGAGATAAGTGTGTCCTATGACCCGAGAGACTCTGCTCCTCTGCAGACACCCTTATCACAGGTTGTATCCTGTGTGGCCCTCAACACTGTGCCGCACACAAGCCCAGTATCCAACACCAGCACCTTCATCCTCCCGCCTGCTGCTTACCCCAAGAAACTAGAGAATGCCTAAAGAAATGGATGGGAAGATTAAATATTATGACTAGTTCAATTCTTTTCATATTGAAGTGCCCCTAACCAATGAATACCTGGAATATAAATTTTCTTGTATTCCTGTTCTTCAATTAGGACAGCTCTGAGGTATATTTTCTTTTTTTGGAGGGCAACAGAATACCAGGGGTTGAACTCAGGACCTTGCATTTGCCAGGCAGGTGCTTATGCTGCTAGTCTATCCCCCCAGCCTGGAGGTATATTTTCTACAGATTTCCATAGTTATTCAGTAGAACTAAGCTTCACTTGCCCACAATGGGAGTGTGCTCAGTAAATCAACTCTTCTTTGCCTCTGTTTTGCTTTACTATTTTTTTTTACTTGTGTTTCCTGGAATTGTCTTTCAAATAAATTGTACTTAAGTCACTGTTTAAGGGTCTACTTTCAAGTATACCCAAGGGGAGAAAACCCTACAGAAATATATTTTGCTATGTTAGGATACATGTACAAGAATATCCAGTGTAAGTTGGTTTGTAATAAAGCTGGAAACAACCAAAGTGCTCATCTACAGAAGAATTGGATTAATTATGGTATAATGGTTTAATGGAAAAATTCATGGCTATGAAAAGTAAGGAACTACTGCCATTACATGTAACAACATATAACAAAAGGAACATCATATTGGAATAAAAGAAATCAAACACAAAGAAATATATGCTGAGTTGATTTATATGAAGTTTTAAAAATCACAAAATTAAACTGTAGCAATTAGGGTGCCATATATTAGTGTTAGGAACTGAAGCAAAGCGAGGTGGTAATAGTCTCAGAAGTGGGTTAATCGGGTTACTGCTTACTTCTGTGGTTGAGGGAAGGTTTTTGGTGAATAGTTTTGATAACAATATTGTTTTATTCCTTCTAGAGTGGTACCAATATTCTGTTTGCTTTCAAAGAACTTATTCAGCTATACATTTATGTCGCAGGTATTCCTAAATCCATGTTTTATTTTACAACAATAAATTTAATAAAGCTATATCTTTCCTATACACCAAATCTAACCTATTTGAAAAGGCAATTTAAAAAAGAAGGGGGCTGGAGAGATGGCTTGGTGGTCTAAAGCACCGACTTAGAACAAACTTAGCAAAGCACAGGGACCGCGGTTCAATCCCCCAGCACCACATGCCAGCCAGCCCCGCCCCCTGGTGGGCTGAGCTGGCCACACACACACACACACACACACACACACAATGTAAAAATAAATAAATAAATATTTAAAAAAATAATAAAAATAAAAAAGAAGGAAAAAACCCTTCACAGTAGTATCAAGTAACTAGGAATAACTTTAGCTGGCAGAAAGAATCACCAAGTCTAAACTGTTCTTTCCTAGTTGAGGATATCAATAAAGATTTGAATAAATGAAACCCCGTGCACTATGTTTAACTGGGAAGATCTAAATAACATATAAATTCAAGTGGATGTTTAAAGAAGTCTAAGAAACGTAGGGACAAAAGGTGAGGAGGAGAAAGCCCTGCAAGCATTCATTGCATATAATAAAGCCAAAGTAGTTTAAACGGGGTGGTGTTCACATGGGAAGCAAAAGATTCATAGAACAGGATGCGCTCTGGGGAGAGACTGAAGTGGACAAGGGGAGTTAATACATAATAAGAAAATATTTCAAATGGTAAGGGAAAAAATGAATTCTTCAGAAAATACTGTTAAGTGGCTATCCATTTGAGAGAAAAAAAAAGTGTGATTGGGTGTGGTAGTGCATACCTGTAATCCCAGTACTCTAGGAGGCTGGCACAGGAAGATTGCTAGTTCAAGCCCAGTCTGGGAAACTTACCATCTGGGTGAGATCTTTTCTCAGAATAAAAAAATAAAAAGCACAAGGGAGGTATTCAATTCAAGCCTCTGGTTTCAATCCTCAGTACTAAATAAAAAATTTGATCTCAATGTCCTATCACTTGCAGAAAGAAATGACAGACAGCCCAAAGATCCAAAGTTTAAAATGATTCAACGTATAGATGGATAAAGTAAAAGTGGTCTATACATAATGGGGTACTTCGCTGCTATAAAAAGGGTAAACTTGCACCACTCATGGGAAAATGGATGCATCACGAGGCCATAACAATAAGTGAAATAGGGCAGGGAGATAGCTCAGCTGCATAAGCACCTGCCTGGCAAGTGCAAGGTCCTGAGTTCAGATGGGAAGGGAAGCAAGAAATGGGGGGGAAGGACAAGGAGGGGAGAGAAAATGGATAAAAAAGAAATGTTGTTTTTGCATTCATATGCCGCAGTGCATGTGGCTTTAACGCGCTGCAAAAGCCCACACAGCTACATACCCCAGCACCCCGATTCTGGCATCTACCTCAGGAAGCCCTTGCAGTGCCCAGAGAGGTTTGCAAAAGGGCATTCACTTGACATTGCTTAGCAAATAAGGCAAACAACTAAAAGGACGATGGCCTCACTGGCTGCCAGCACAAGAAGATTAAATAAATGAAAATATCTATGCCACGAGACACCATGCAGTGTTCAGGGGAGAAGCTGGGCAGGTGTACTTTTGAATGAAGGAAAGGGGCTTCAGCATGATGTGTGTGGTGCAGGGCCGACATAGACGTACAACTTATAGACAGACACATACATGTAGACACACATACATAAAATACCCACTTGCACAGGTAAGTAGGTCATGCTTGGCGTGGGGGACACTTTTGTGGCCACAGGTAGTTCCAACTAGGAAGTACTGAAGGAGACTGGGATTAAAGGAGGTTGGCAAAATGGACTTTATTCTCACTGTTCATGTTTTGACTTTTACAAAGAGAATTTTTCATGCATTACTTAAGCAATTAAAAACAATTTTAATAGCCAGAGAGACGGCTCAGTTGAATGAGTGCTTGCCTGACAAGCGCAAGGGCCTGAGTTCAATCCCCGGTTCCACAAAAAAAAAAAAAAAAAAAAAAAAGACTTAAATTTGGGCTGGTGAGATGGCTCAGTGGTCTAAAGTACCTACTTAGAACAAGCTTAGCAAAGCACAGGGACCGCAGTTCAATCCCCCAGCACCACATGCCAGCCAGCCCCGCCCCCTGGTGGGCTGAGCTGGCCACACACACACACACACACACACACACACAAATAAAATTTAAAAAAAACAATTTTAATAAAATAACAATATTAGCATGGTTATCTTTGAGTGGCAGAATTTTTCATTTTCCATTTTCCAGTATTTTTTTTAACTGAGAAAGAATTATAACAGACATGATTCCATTGTTTGAAGTTGTGGTAAAATACATACAAAATTCATCATATTAACCATTTAAAAAAATATAGCTGGAGAGCATTACGTATGCTCATTTTATGAAGACTCCAGAAATTTTTTGTCACGCAAAACAAACTCTGGGGCCGGGGAGATAGCTCAGTAGAATAAGTGCTTGCCTGGCAAGTACAGCGTTCTGAGTTCAATCCCAGGTACAGCAAAAAAACCCAAAACAAACAAAAAAAAAACAAAACAAACAAACAAACAAACAAAAAAAAACTCTGGCCAGGTGTGGTGGCACACACCTGCAATCCCAGCATTCTAGAAGACTGTGGCGGGAGGACTGCCACTAGTTTCAGGCCAGCCTGGGCTACACAGTGAGTGTAAGCCCAGCCTGAATTACATAGTGAGGCCCTGTCTCAAAAAAACAGAAGAACACCCCCCCCGAAATTGTGTACACTTTCCTTTGTTGTCTGTCCTGGTCCCGGCCCATTCTACTTTCTGCTTCTAGAACACTGACTCCCCTAGACACCTCTATAAGTAAGGGCCTGTCTTTTACTGACTGGCTTATTCCACTGAGCATGCAGTCTGCAGGCCTCATTCACAGTGCAGCATCTATCAGAGTGGTGTTGCCTGCCTTTCCAGAGAGACTACTGGGTCCTAAGAAGAGGAGTAGGGAAAGGGGATAACAAAGGGAGGTGGAAGGCGGGATGGACACAATTGAGGTACAAGAGTCATACAGGGAAAAAACACTGCAAACCATGAAGCTGTGCAATTAGCATGTTCATAGTTACAATAAAAATATCTTTTTAAAATTTTTTTTATTTTTTGGTGGAACCAGGGATTGAACTCAGGCCTTTGAGCTTGCGAGGGAAGCACTTATTCCACTGAGCCATCTCCCCGGCCCCAAAAATATCTCTTTTTAAGTTAAAGGGCTTTTTTTTTTTTTTTTTTTTTTTTGTGGAACCGGGGATT